AGAAGAGGCATCAAACATAACTAGAAGCTGGTAGGTTGAACAAGCAAACAGCATGAGCTTCCCCACTTATCCCTGATTGTGCGTAGACTTACAAAACAGGTAAGTATATGCACAATTCCATTTATTCATATATTTTTAGTTCCAAAAATCGACTAAACCCAGGGTCCACTGGTAATTTTGAATTGTTATGGCAACAAGATACTTCTGGATCTAGGTTACCTCTAATGTTTAGCTAGTTTACCCTCCCTTACAAAGCTCCAAGTACAAACTGATTTTTCTTTCATGTATCTGAGCATATGAAACATAACTCTCATTCAAATAAAGTAATTCAAGATCAGAACAGTAATATAAATCCAGCAAAAGGTCCAAGACATCATCCCCATTTCCTTATTAAGGGTCAGGATTATTAGGCCTGGGCTTCTTTACCAGATCACTGTTCCTCAAAGTCTAGTATTATCCCCAACGCTTACTTCTTCAGCAATATATAGAATTGGCTACCATTTATTCTACTACTTAGAATTCTACTATTTAGAATTGGCTATTACTTTTTTTTTAGAAGGTATTCTGTAAATTTTTCAGGCTACTTTTTGTCAAGACTTAGATTATGAAAAATAATGTTTTCAAGTAGGTTATTTCAGGCTGATTTTTACAGAAAGTATCAAGTAGGAAAACTATAGCAAGTGCCGCTGTGCGGAAACAAAGAAGAAACCATGAGTCTCGTTTCTAAAACTTTTAACTGTTCACATTTTTATATGCATTCATCTGAAAGATAAGAGAGTAAAAATAAAATCTCTTATCACTGACGTCCATTTTAAATCTAATCTTTCAGTGCATTTTTTCAGTAGATGAGCCAGTGGAGCATTTTCAAGGAGCCATGCATTTAAATATCTCAACTAGATAGGAAATTCACTCATGCTTTACCGAAGCTACTTATAGAAACATTTCTGAGATTGAAGGAATAAAAAAGGTGATTCTGAGAATAAATTTATCATCTTAATGCGTGGCTTCAAGCGAGTAAAATAAGCCAAGATTAACATCCACAAATAACACTGACCATTGACAATAAGCTCTGATTTGGGGTCCCCCCATGTCTGAAGCCTAATCAGAAACTCATGGCAGATGACAGCTGTGTGGAACAAATTTATCTCGCCTCCCACTTTAACATAGTGTTCAAGGTAGGATAACGTGCAGTTTATCCTCTTTACAACTGTGAAACGTTCATCTCTCTTTCCCCAAATTTTATGAAAGCAGGAGTGAAAAACCGATTTGTGACCACTCACTTTGCAGGACAAAGTCTTTAGATTGTTTCACAACCATAAACTCAACTTTAAAGAGAAGTATTTCTTGCCCTGTACGAAGCCGTATTTTAGTGCAAGCTGCAAACACCTCTTTCCATACAGAAGATATCTCAGGAGCGAAGCAAACATCGATTTTGGTCTTGGCAATAGTTTTATTGTTCGCTACGCTCGCCCTCAGCCGTAGGGCAGACAGACCCGAACACCGAGCGCCGCGCTTTAGGAGACGAGGCGAAGGACACGCAGCTAGTAGTTCACGGAACCGCAGGGCACCCCCAGTGGGCAGGGACCCGTAAGGGCTCCCTGCTCCTCGCAGGACAACTCCCACCGGGAAAGCCTTTCCCTACCCACCGAGAAAGCATCTCCCAAACAGGCAGCCCGCGCCTCTTCGAGAACACGCTCCCAGAAGGGACGCCGAGGCAGACCGCCGCCTCT